CCATATTTTCTCACAGACGAGAACCGACTAGTGGCGGTTGGTTGCAGTACCAAGGCGTCTCTGATAGATATTGAGTCAGAGATCTTAGGTTGTGAATCGAGCTGCGAAGATAGTAAAAGTAGTCAACAAGTACCAAACTCGAACTGTAATGGTTACAAATGCTGCCAAGCGAGGATACCATTAGAGCGTCCTCAGGTTATAGGAATCAGTATAGAAAAGACTAATGGCACAAGAGGAGAAGGATGTAAGGTTGCGTTCTTGACGAGCAAGAGGTATTCGCCGATGAATGTTACCGAGCCAGGACAGTTTCATTCTAAAGGATATGCGTTGGTAGAGCTAGGATGGTACTTTGATACTTCGGATTCTCGCTTTAGGAGCCCCTTAGGTTGTAGAAATATGACCCGTTACAGTTCTTACAATTCCTTTGATAAATGCGGTTGCGAGTATCAGTACTTTTCTGGGATGAGTTATAGGAATTGCTATTGCAACTATGGCTACACAGGAAACCCATACCTTCAACATGGCTGCATAGGTAAGTGATTGTTTCTTCTTTCTTTTGCTTTTGCTGCCTTTCATTGACCAAGTCATTAATAACTATGATTCAAAAAATGTGTAGACATAGATGAATGCAAAGGGCACAACAATTGTGGAGAAGGGACTTGTGTGAACATGCCTGGAACACATAGCTGCGAGCCCAAGATAACCAAGCCGGAAAAAGCCTCTGTGCTTCAAGGTAAGTTAAAGTAGCCTCTTGCATCTACGAGACTATAAAATAGAGAACAGAAAAGTAGTTTACTTGATGTTTTTTGTGGTTGGTGTAGGCGTTCTTATAGGTCTAGGAGTGCTGTTTTTCGTGCTCGGAGTCTTGGGACTGTACAAACTCGTTAAGAAGCGAAGGAAGATCATCCGCAACAATAAATTCTTCAAACATAATGGAGGCTTGCTATTGAAACAACAGCTAGTTACAACAAAGAACGGAAATGTAGAGATGTCAAGAATATTTAGCTCAAAAGAGTTGAAGAAAGTTACCGATAACTTCAACATGAACAGAGTGCTTGGGCAAGGTGGTCAAGGAACTGTGTACAAGGGAATGTTGGTGGATGGACAAATTGTCGCGGTTAAAAAATCCAAAGTTTTGGATAAAGACAAGGTGGAAGAGTTCATCAATGAAGTCGTACTTCTCTCACAGATTAACCACAGGAACATTGTGAAGCTCTTGGGATGTTGCTTGGAGTCAGAAGTTCCAGTCTTGGTTTACGAGTATATTCCCAATGGAGATCTGTTCAAGCGTCTTCAAGACGAATCCGATGATTACAAAATGACTTGGGAAGTGCGTCTTCGCATAGCCATAGAGATCGCAGGAGCTCTTTCATATATGCACTCAGCTGCATCGTTTCCAATATACCACAGAGATATCAAGACTACGAATATACTATTAGACGAGAAATATCGAGCCAAAGTATCTGATTTCGGAACTTCAAGATCGGTAACCATTGATCAAACTCACTTGACGACATTAGTTGCAGGCACTTTTGGGTATATGGATCCAGAGTACTTCCTATCAAGCCAATATACTGATAAGAGCGATGTCTACAGTTTCGGGGTTGTCTTGGTGGAGCTCATTACCGGAGAAAAACCAGTATCCCGTGTCCGGTCTGAAGAAGGTAGAGGCTTGGCTGCTCATTTCATCGAGGCCATGAAAGAAAACAGAGTGCTTGACATCATTGATATTCGGATCAAAGACCATGAAAAGCTTGACCAAGTAATGGCGGTAGCAAAACTTGCTCGAAGGTGTCTTAACCGGAAAGGGAAGAAGCGGCCAAACATGAAAGAGGTCTCCATTGAGCTCGAGAAAATCCGATTATCATCACTTGAAGATTTAGAGGTCGATATCGGAAAAAAAAACGAAGACGATGAGGATGATTGAATGATTAAATGCGTTGCTAAAGTTATAATGCATGCTTATTATTGTATAATGCGTTGCCACAATGATATTTCTTTTGTTTTTGTCGTCGGCCACAATGATAATCTCTCACTTTTTTTTTTATCAC